ATACTACGTGATTTTAATTTTCCTGTTATTCTTATCCTCAATGTAAATATCTTTACTTTGTAATTAACATATTTGTATATAAAAAAAAATTTTAAAGCTTAAACAAGCTTATCATTCTGTTCTTACGTAAATATTAACATTAGGAATTGTACATAAGATAAAATTTTACACTTTTATTACTGGCGACTTACATATTAGTCGACCATTTAATAACTCGTATATACAATTAGCTGATAAAATAATATTACTTTTCAGCAATTAATATGTATGAGTGAATTTCAATAGAATGATTCTCTTGTTGAAGCACTCTGCAATGAAAGTGTTAATTAATCAAATAAATTACCGTTTTATTGAATTATAGATTTGATAAAATAGTCAGTCTTGTAACAGTACTGTACTATTCACCATTGGTTAGAATAGGACCTTATTTCGTTGGTGTGATCTCTGCATATATTGTTGTTAAATTAAACAATACATTACATTGGAATAAGGTAAACAGATTATTCTAACTGTTTGTTGATTCAGAATTTTGGCGATCCAATATTTTTATTTACGATAATTATGTTTATTCTAATATTAAGGGGAGTACGCGCGCAGCCGTCGAAGCGAAAACACGTTAAATTTACACAAAGAGATTATAAATAACTCAAACAATGGCATGGGAATAACACCAAAAAAGGTAAACATCGTTAACCTCCATAGAGAACATATCATAAGTAAAAACATAAACAGATGAAAAACGAAGCTTACAGTTAAATAACAGTATAATGTTTATTTAAAAGAAACTGTAAATAACAAGCAAACACTGAACTTAAACCTAAAGACTCAGCCGAGATCAAACGTTAGGAAAACTATCACAGAGTTTGTCTGGAGATAGACAAAGGAAAAATTTCAAATACGTGAGGAGGAGGAGTACAACCTCCCCAAAAAAAAAAAAAAAAAAAAAAAAGACCAGGGCTCATCTGGCCCGGATGTCAGCACCCTGTAAGGGCTTGCAGCCAGGTTATGGCAGGGTCACGAGGACCAGCGAGTACGTTGACGCTACCCGAAAGGGATGTGCTGGATGATGCGTACAGCGCAGTTCCCGTGGAAACTCCCGGCGTCAACGCGTCGCACCCACGGGAGTGTCAGGATGTTGATGAAGGAAGTAGGTGAACGGCAAGGACGGATGATTAATTCCCGCCCTTATAGCCAAAAGCYTTCGCAACAATGGGGTAGTTGCGAGGGTGATSACCCCCMAACTTCTTGAGACACCGCGTTCGGAGACGGCCTGACACTCTGGAGTAATAATAAAACTTATGGAGAAACAAAAACAAAATCAAAACCGAAATAAAAAAATGGAAGAAGACGGAAGAAAGATCGCTGAGCAAAGCGACAAAGGAGAAGATGCCCAGCTTGCGAAGGAGACATCACAGAATTGTGAGAGAGAGAAACTCGCGCAAGCGAGATCCCTCCTTGCTAATATGAAGGCGGCTGTGACGAGACAGCCAAATGTTAACAATGCTATCAAGCAAGGACTCCCGAAA